AGGGATTAGAACCCCTGTGAGGTTTTTATCGCTGTCTGTGTCCCCGTTAGTGAGATTACCCTCTCTATTTGTATTTGTCTGGGTGACCATTATCACTGAAAGTGAAAGAAAATCCCATATTTTGGGTTGTCACCAGAACAGGAATAGATGGGTAATCTTCCAATGGGAACCCTGGTTCTGGTGAACCCACCAGAGATTTCCAAGTTTTTGGAGGGATTTCCTCACTTCTTGTTGTGGCTGTGTTACAGGAAGTGAAGGCAAATCTCCACAATGGGATACAGATGGCAAAATAAAGCAGACAGGGGCTGTAACCCTCCCTTACTCTATCCAAAGCTTGGATTCAGTTCCAGGTTAAGCAATGCCTGGTCTCAAGATGAATTCCTACTTAGGCAAATCACATGATCTTAGTACTTACCAATAATGTTCCACATCCACTCCCAGGTTTTAAGAAAAAGTCTCTTTTACTGAAGTTATGGATATTTCTGATTATGGGGAGCATGTGATTTCTCCCATGATGCAGTGCATTCGGAGTTTCGGAGTAGCCAAATGGCAGGCCAAGTGCTATCACATGGAAGCAGTGGAGGTCCTAAGCCCTGTGCAAGCTTCAACCAGACCAACTTGGAGCTTACAGAGGACTGCAACAGGTGACCAGGATGGTGAGGTTAGGATAAGCAATTCCATGGGGGAAGCTGTTCTCCGGTATAAGCAAAGAGTGTTTAGATACAAGAGCCATGTGTATTCTTCCTGGAATCTTGGTGAGCTTTGTGTATTTCTTCCAGATCTGTGCAAAACTTGGAGCTTCCTGTAATAAAGACCAGTCACTGCTGCTCTCTCTTCTTGTGCAGGGTGACTGGTCTTGTCTCCGCCCCCTCCTGTAATAAAGACCGTTCACTGTTGCTCTCTCTTCTTGTGCAGGGTGACTGGTCTTGTCTCCGCCCCCTCCGATCATAAAGACCGGTCACTCCTGATCTCTCTCCTTGTGCAGGGTGACTGCTCTTGTCCCCGCCCCCTCCTGCAGTTTTCTGCAGGCAGCCTGTAGTGGGTGGGGCCTTCCGGGTCCCTCCTACAGCTCTGCTCTCCGCACAGAAAGGTAATATCTGGGTTTGTAAAGGCATTTGGTGCACACAAAGCAGGGTTATATCCTCTGTGGTTATTTAGTGATATATATAAATGAAAGTTGTGTGCATGGAGTTCAGCCTGTATGGTCAAAATACAGCTTTCCTTTAACTGTCATTTCTTTCATTAAGTCTGCCATATTTGGAAGGTCTTTGTATGGAGAAGGTTAATAATCCAAAACCAGGACTCTGAGTCAGTGAAGGTAATGAATTGCTGGACGTGACAGATGATCGATGTTAATAACTGATGTCCATGACGCCCCGACAAGGCCGGTTTTGACATCTGAACACTGCGGGCTGACTGCAGATATCTAATTGTACTTTGTACTCCATGGACTGAGACGGCCTTTTCTGAGAGTTCCGGAGGGATTTAGATGGAGAAGATCAAGGATCGTCCTAGAAATGCAACATGGCCTTCTAGCAGAATTTCTACATGTGATCTGCGGGTAGAAACATCAGACTGACATAGAAGAACTGGAGCAGAGCAAAGCCTCCATGCAGCCCGTCTTTATTTTTTGTTTCTTTCTCTTTCCTGCACTAGAAGGAAAGAACTGCAACCTGATTGGTTGTGTTCAAAGTCTAACTGAAGCCATTTTTTTTTCTATTTGTGACCCCATTGAGGAGATTCTTCTCGCTTCCTGCCTAGGGTTACCACCCTTTCTTCCAGCAAAACCCGAACACTCTAGCGACGCACGTAAATTTTTTAGGGAGAATGAGTCGCGGCGTATTCATATGTAAATAGCCAGTGGCGTCAGTGG